CGTATTCACCCTCAGCTAAGAATGGTTGTAAAGAGTTTGACTACCTCCCCTGCATCAAAAACAAAACCCTGACAGGTCACGTGATCAAGTCTTTCAGAGTCTTAGCTCCCGGATTAAAGATGTGCCAAAGGAAATGTTTCACTGAAGGCCAGTGYGTGTCGTACAACTTGGGCCCAGTAGACGGTCAGATCAGGACGTGTGAGTTGAGTGCTGCTGATCACTGGATGCGACCSAAGTTCTTGATCTTCAAAGAAGGCTTTGAGTACTGTCCAATCAGGGTTAGTAATTTCATCCCCCAAACCCTCCAAAAACTCATGAGGAATTGAAATGAAAAACACTTCTAATTTTTTATTTTTAGAACCCTTGTTCGTCAAATCCTTKTCCTTCAAATAGACTCTGCACACCTGATTTCAGTTTGGAYACGTTCAGCTGTGATGGTAAGTGGTTTCTATCCATCTGAATCATTGATCGCATCTACTAGGGTATCATATTGCTAGTCAATAGTTCTCCGATGCCCTCTCAGGCGATTTGTGAAACACTAAGACGGTCCTGCTTTATCATAGCGTCTTAACTCTATAATAATTTATCTTTGCTCCGTGGCCATGTCTTCTCCTGTATTTCCTGTTGCAAAACACCGCTTGTTCTATATAGTTTTATAATATTCTCTTATATAGGGCGGGCGTTTTAATTCTAATCATACTAGTGTTAACTCTATAGACGGTGGCTGGACCCAGTGGAGTTCCTGGAACCRCTGCATCGTGTCATGCAGCACACGTCAAACGAGAATGAGAAGTTGTTCAAAACCTGCTCCACAGAATCGCGGCTCGCAGTGCTTTGGTGAAGCACAACAGACCAAAGCTTGCCAACCTTCGCCTAAAATAGGTAAAAACAACTTTTGACAATCAAAATATACTCCGTTGACACAAGCATTTTTTCGTATCTTGCTAAAGAACGGCCTGTAGTTTAACTTACTTTATGTCGTCTATTTCTTTCCAAAAGAGGTGAAAAACATCGGCTGCTTTAAAGACWATCACSCAGATCGTACRTTACAWCAAGTATTGATAGGAGAAATCAAACCACACACTATTTGCAGCTGCGCACTTTTAGCTCAACCAAGCGGCTATGGTATATTCGGTATCCAAAATAATGGAGGTGCATGTAGAACCGATCCATCAGGTCGAATTACCTACAATAAGCATGGGAATGCAACCAACTGTTTAAATGGACTAGGAGGAAGTCTTTCTAATAATGTCTACGAGTTTAAAGGTACGTACGTTTTAGGACTGGAAACAATGTATTACCTTATAAGGTAATTGGAATTTGGTGTAGACATTAACATTGCAAAGAGACATGCTAACAATTGTCAACTTAATATGTTCTATTATTGCAGAAATTCCTTGATTGAAAAGATTCAACAAGAAAACCCAGCGTTAAGGAACAAGAAACAACAGAATTTTTCAGGAAACGATTCTACTGTAAAATTAAAATGCTCAAAAASAAGCTCTCACAGCTTCAAAATCGATATCAATATCTATAAGAAGTTTTTTTTAATTTGCAATGCAGAAAAAATGCACGGTGGGGGACACCAACATTTCAATAGATTTTTTCACGAATCACTTACAGTTATTTTTTCTAACTAACGCGGTACAGGAATAATAAAGAAATTTCACTTCACATTTATGTATCTCTTTACTTAAATAACCTAAAAGTCTTACTTGTGGTCTTAACCAGAAACTGCAAGAAGACAAGAAGTGCCTTAGTTCTAATAAGCGATTTAAATTATACTAAAACATGCTAGATAGGTTCTTTTTCTGTTCTTATATACGCTAGTATAGTTCCAAGAATTGTTCCTTAGATCGTTTCCATCTGTTTTTTAATAGTCTTGGGCTGACAATTATTCTGATGTATTTTAATCACCCAAGGCGATTTTTTGTTTTGTGCCACTTTTTCTTTTGGGGGATGATTGATCATGAGCCAAAACTACTTCATGTTTTCTGGAACTCATCCCTTGCTTAGCAAGCTCTTTGAATATTGATTATTTTCCAATGGGTATTTTCGATGGGTTTTCAGCAAGTATTCCAAAAAAAATTTCCATTTCATACACGGCAAGACTTTGACTACAGCGAGACCTCTCCTACTAGACCGGTTTCAGGTGAAACAGTACGTGGTCAAATATTGAACCGATGGGAAAGTACAGAAAGTAGAATATATTAATAATTGATAGCTTTCTTTATTGCTATTATTATAAGCATTTTGTCGTCAACTAATGAATAATAAAATAATATTAGAAAAGCAACAAAGAAAAAACCGTCAGCCAGCAGCAATGGATGAAGTTCTAAATATGGGTTCGTTTCTTCGTTTGTTGATGAGCATTACCTTGGCTGTCGTAAAAGGTAGATTTTACTGGAGCATGTCTTTCTTCGCGAATGTTGCTACGCATATACTTGTAATTTGTACTAAAAAATTTATTGCGACAAGTCTCGACATGTGAGTGCCATCTGGCACCATTTTCAAGAGTAAAGTAATTGTGAGTTCGTAGTTTGAGTATATAACAAATATTTGTTTTTGTGTGTGTTTAGTATTTCTTGAACGAAAAACAGTAGTTTTTTTAGAACTCCTTCGTAAATTTTAGATTTCTTGTTTATCCTTTTCAATTAAATTCTCAAACATTAAAACAATTTCAGTTGAAATGCTCTTTTAGACTATTTAATTGCAGAAATGGCGTGAATGCAGTTAGAGAAACAGGAGTCTTGGTTAATTTGGCATGAAAAATGATACGAAAAAAATTGAATAATTGGAGGGTCACGTATATCAGGAAAATTACTTCAAATAAAAACTACATACAACTCAGGACCGGTATTTTTCATGAAAAAAAAAACTTTTAACATCAACAATGATAGTTATTGTCATTGGAATTATTTGAATTCAGTTCATAAAATTGTTGGATAATGCAGTTTGGACCTATTTTAGGCGTTTTGTATTTGTTTTTTATSATCCAAAAGGATATACTTCGACAAAATTATTTTCCTTTTTTATCCTTAAGTTTCTTTTATTAGTATTTAATCATAAATTTATTCAATTTTACGAAATCGAAATTTTTTCCGACTGATTTTCGATCTAAGTGTCAAAGTTTAGGGTTGAGAAACATAATTATCATAAAAACAGCTGCGGGTAGGCTGCATGTGTTTCATTCAGCGTTTACTCGTATAGCTGCGGGATGCTTATTATAATAAGCCCAAAACATCGATTTGCGATTTGCATAGTTTTTAAAAACAGGAGGGTTGTTGTTAGTGCTCAGTGGTGAAATTGAATAAATTAAAAAGGATATGGCTTAAAAATGATAAGAACGTAGAAGCTGAGGCCGAAAGGGTGAACGGGAACGCACCACAAAACATTTACTTCCGGTCTCATCTTCTTTGCTAAGTGTTCATGTAAGTTAAATCTGTCAAAAGCTCGCTTGACATTCTAATGATTCATTCCATTTACACACTTTACACGTACAGCTAAGCATGGTTGTAAAGAGTTTGAATATCTGCCCTGCGTTCAAAACAAAACCCTGACAGGTCACGTGATCAAGTCCCTTAGAGTCACAGGATTAGAGATGTGCCAGACCAAATGTTTTTCTGAAGAGTCTGAGGGCGAATGTGTGTCGTACAATTTGGGTCCAGTAGACGGTCTCACTAGGATGTGTGAGTTGAGCTCATCGGATCACTGGWCACTGCCCAAGTTCTTAATATCAAAGGAAGGCTTTGAGTACTGTCCAATCAAGGTTAATAGTTTAGCAGCTTGTATTTGGTCGTTACCAACCCTGTTGAGCCGTTTTGTGCAATGATGATGTTTTCTTTTCTTTAGAATCCTTGCTCATCGAGTCCATGTCCACAAGGAAAACTCTGCACTCCAGATTTTTCTTGGGATACCTACCAMTGCAAAGGTAAGCTTGTTGCAATGAATTGATCGGAGTAACAAGAGCATGAATAAGTACGAGAACAAAAGCAAACCGACAAGATAAACTCGAACAAGAATAAACTAGTAACAATAACTGGAAAACAAGCCGACAACATCAAGAACAAGCTTTCAAACAAGAGCAAGCTGTCAAGTACAAGAACAAGAAAAGGTCAAGCCGAAAAGAGCAAAAACAACTCGAACAAGAAAACAACAAGTCGAGAAGAACAAGAACAACTGGAACAAGAAAAGGACAAGCCTCGAGAACAAGAACAACTGGAACAAGAAAAGATCAAGCCGAGAAGAGCAAGAACAAATACAACAAGAAAAGGTCAAACTGAGTAGAGCAAGAAGAACAACTGAAGAAGAAAAGGACAAGCCGAGAAGAACAAGAACAACTGAAACAAAGAGAACCAGCTGACAAGAGTAATAATAATGAGTATTTACGCATGTTGTTAAAATAATCAGACACAAACGGACACAAACGTGACTGTCCCTTCACCATTAGAAAATAACATTAAAAAGAATTTTCCCTGTATARACACGACCTTTTTGGATTATCCACGGCATCACTCTGCATATCTTATATTTCATAATAATTTTCTTATGAGATTCAATGATATTTCAGAAGGTTGGTGGACCAAGTGGGGCTCCTGGTCGACCTGCTTTCTACCCAAAACTTGTCAGTTACAGACTCGAAAACGTAAATGTTCAAACCCACTTACTAGTAACCAAGTCCAATGTGATACCGGAGCTGGACTGGAGTCAAGAAACTGCAAAGTGCACTATTATGACACAACAGGTATGTCAATGGTTCATATGTTACGTCGAAGGTCCAAAGGCTAATAATGTAGAGAGAATAAATGTCAAGAGTGGAGAAGTTGGATGGCAAGAGATCAAGGGAGCATAGGACAAAGGCGAGGAAAGGGTGTATGGAAGCGTTAGGCTCTATTGAAATTATCCATCTTTCCTATCAATTTATAAAATTGTCCCATTTTGATTCCCTTTTCTCCCGATRATTATAYACCTTTCGCWTAGGATGTGAAGGCCATCTGGGAATGGAAGACGGGCGGATCAAAGACTCCCAAATCAAGGGTTCAACTTGGTGGAGTCAGGACTGGCTACCTAAAGAAGGACGTCTTAAGGCTCACCGTGCGTGGATCCCCAGAAAGTCGACAAACGGCGAATACATTCAGGTCGATCTGTTAAAGCCGACATTCATCACCATGGTAGCGACTCAAGGAAGACCACTAGTTAACCAATGGGTAACAAAGTATAAGTTAGCGTACAGCAATGATGGCCAATCATGGAATGAATATAAGGGAGATTGCATCAAGGTAAGGGACGCCATTTTCTTGAGCAAAGTTTGATGCGAAATATATTTTCCCGCCTTTTTATGTCCCTAAAATCCTCCCCAAAAGCGTTTTTTCAAGCAGATGTACCGATTTTCTGAAGTTAAACACCTTTTTAGAGATTACTGGCTGCTAATAGCTGGCTCACTATTGGTGACAAGAACTATGAGTGAATGCATACAATATAAAGATGAATGAGCGAAATACAGCTATTTCAAAAAACGTTGTCGGGGAGAACGGCGAACGGCGATACGACCGAAAGGGATTATGGTTACACTGTTTTGATAAACAAAATTTCACTTATTGGATTCASCTTACATAGAAATGGAGACTAAATGGAGCCAATGTTTACCACAGACCATCTTACAGTACCAATCAGTTTTATTGCCTTCAAACTAGCAAAACACATGGCTACTTTCGGTCGTGTAAACGCCGTTCGACCATTGACATTCGCCATTTTATCCGACAACATTTTTGGAAATAGCTATATACTTAGATAGTATTTAGTTGATCGTTATTTTTCCAGATTTTTCCTGGAAATTCAAACTACTACACCATTGTGACCAACAAGCTTGAGGTTNAATTGAATAAATTAAAAAGGATATGGCTTAAAAATGATAAGAACGTAGAAGCTGAGGCCGAAAGGGTGAACGGGAACGCACCACAAAACATTTACTTCCGGTCTCATCTTCTTTGCTAAGTGTTCATGTAAGTTAAATCTGTCAAAAGCTCGCTTGACATTCTAATGATTCATTCCATTTACACACTTTACACGTACAGCTAAGCATGGTTGTAAAGAGTTTGAATATCTGCCYTGCRTYMAAAACAAAACCCTGACAGGTCACGTGATCAAGTCCCTTAGAGTCACAGGATTAGAGATGTGCCAGACCAAATGTTTTTCTGAAGAGTCTGAGGGCGAATGTGTGTCGTACAATTTGGGTCCAGTAGACGGTCTCACTAGGATGTGTGAGTTGAGCTCATCGGATCACTGGWCACTGCCCAAGTTCTTAATATCAAAGGAAGGCTTTGAGTACTGTCCAATCAAGGTTAATAGTTTAGCAGCTTGTATTTGGTCGTTACCAACCCTGTTGAGCCGTTTTGTGCAATGATGATGTTTTCTTTTCTTTAGAATCCTTGCTCATCGAGTCCATGTCCACAAGGAAAACTCTGCACTCCAGATTTTTCTTGGGATACCTACCAMTGCAAAGGTAAGCTTGTTGCAATGAATTGATCGGAGTAACAAGAGCATGAATAAGTACGAGAACAAAAGCAAACCGACAAGATAAACTCGAACAAGAATAAACTAGTAACAATAACTGGAAAACAAGCCGACAACATCAAGAACAAGCTTTCAAACAAGAGCAAGCTGTCAAGTACAAGAACAAGAAAAGGTCAAGCCGAAAAGAGCAAAAACAACTCGAACAAGAAAACAACAAGTCGAGAAGAACAAGAACAACTGGAACAAGAAAAGGACAAGCCTCGAGAACAAGAACAACTGGAACAAGAAAAGATCAAGCCGAGAAGAGCAAGAACAAATACAACAAGAAAAGGTCAAACTGAGTAGAGCAAGAAGAACAACTGAAGAAGAAAAGGACAAGCCGAGAAGAACAAGAACAACTGAAACAAAGAGAACCAGCTGACAAGAGTAATAATAATGAGTATTTACGCATGTTGTTAAAATAATCAGACACAAACGGACACAAACGTGACTGTCCCTTCACCATTAGAAAATAACATTAAAAAGAATTTTCCCTGTATARACACGACCTTTTTGGATTATCCACGGCATCACTCTGCATATCTTATATTTCATAATAATTTTCTTATGAGATTCAATGATATTTCAGAAGGTTGGTGGACCAAGTGGGGCTCCTGGTCGACCTGCTTTCTACCCAAAACTTGTCAGTTACAGACTCGAAAACGTAAATGTTCAAACCCACTTACTAGTAACCAAGTCCAATGTGATACCGGAGCTGGACTGGAGTCAAGAAACTGCAAAGTGCACTATTATGACACAACAGGTATGTCAATGGTTCATATGTTACGTCGAAGGTCCAAAGGCTAATAATGTAGAGAGAATAAATGTCAAGAGTGGAGAAGTTGGATGGCAAGAGATCAAGGGAGCATAGGACAAAGGCGAGGAAAGGGTGTATGGAAGCGTTAGGCTCTATTGAAATTATCCATCTTTCCTATCAATTTATAAAATTGTCCCATTTTGATTCCCTTTTCTCCCGATRATTATAYACCTTTCGCWTAGGATGTGAAGGCCATCTGGGAATGGAAGACGGGCGGATCAAAGACTCCCAAATCAAGGGTTCAACTTGGTGGAGTCAGGACTGGCTACCTAAAGAAGGACGTCTTAAGGCTCACCGTGCGTGGATCCCCAGAAAGTCGACAAACGGCGAATACATTCAGGTCGATCTGTTAAAGCCGACATTCATCACCATGGTAGCGACTCAAGGAAGACCACTAGTTAACCAATGGGTAACAAAGTATAAGTTAGCGTACAGCAATGATGGCCAATCATGGAATGAATATAAGGGAGATTGCATCAAGGTAAGGGACGCCATTTTCTTGAGCAAAGTTTGATGCGAAATATATTTTCCCGCCTTTTTATGTCCCTAAAATCCTCCCCAAAAGCGTTTTTTCAAGCAGATGTACCGATTTTCTGAAGTTAAACACCTTTTTAGAGATTACTGGCTGCTAATAGCTGGCTCACTATTGGTGACAAGAACTATGAGTGAATGCATACAATATAAAGATGAATGAGCGAAATACAGCTATTTCAAAAAACGTTGTCGGGGAGAACGGCGAACGGCGATACGACCGAAAGGGATTATGGTTACACTGTTTTGATAAACAAAATTTCACTTATTGGATTCAGCTTACATAGAAATGGAGACTAAATGGAGCCAATGTTTACCACAGACCATCTTACAGTACCAATCAGTTTTATTGCCTTCAAACTAGCAAAACACATGGCTACTTTCGGTCGTGTAAACGCCGTTCGACCATTGACATTCGCCATTTTATCCGACAACMTTTTTKGAAAYAGCTATATACTTAGATARTATTTAGTTGATCGTTATTTTTCCAGATTTTTCCTGGAAATTCAAACTACWACACCATTGTGACCAACAAGCTTGAGGTTCCCATTAAAGCTAGGTACTTGCGTCTTATCATTCAGGGACACAGTWATCACCCRAGTATTAGAATGGAGATATACGGATGTGTTAAGGACAACCTGCCACTRCATTAGACCTTTTTGTCTTGAGATTACTTTAGCCAAGACTAGTAACAATGCTATAAAACTAATTAATTCACATAATAGAGTATATACAATGAATAAACATGACTACCAGCAAAAAATGACAATAAACAAGAGTTTTGCGTTGATTTTACATACTACTTTCATAACGTGAATTTTCTCTGAAAAGTTATATTTCATCTTAAACGTAACTTTTTTAGCAAACATTTCGTAATATCATACCCACATACGGTACTTACAGGAAATCTGTAAATGAGTTTAAAATCTTGCCATATTAAACTTTGACATTTTTATCCACCCAAGAGTGCAAAGTATATAAAGATTGTACATCCAAGCTCACAGATTATGGTAATAAACTACTAACTTGTATTTTAATTAAAAAAAAGTCCACTAGCATTTAAATNCAAACGATTAGATTCCATTTCATACACGGACTTCCCCCAGTAAACCGGTTTAAGGTGAAACAGTACGTAGTCAAATATTGAACCGATGGGAAAGCATAATTATTTGAATAATTGATAGCTTTCTTTATCGCTACTATAAGTATTTGACTTCAACTAAAGAACAATACTATCAACAAACAAGTAACAAAGCTAAAGGTGTAAAACCTCCTGTCATCAGCAATGGTCTAAACATGGKTTCGTTTCTTCGTTTGTTGATGAGCATTRCCTTGGCTGTCGTAAAAGGTAGATTTTACCGAAGCATATCTTTCCTCGCGAATGTTGCAGCGCATACACCATATACGTTTAATCACTTTATATTTTGTTTCTGTTTGTGTGTGTTTTATCATTTCTTGAACGACAAACAGTAGTTTTTTAGAGTCTCCTTCGTAAATTTTAGGTTTCTTGTAAATCCTTTTCAATTAAATTCTCAAACATTAAAACAATTTCAGTTGAAAAGGATAAGAAAGATGGACTTGTTATGCTGTTTTAGACTATTTAATTGAAGAAATGGCATGAATGCAGTTATAGAAACAGGRGTCTTGGTTTAAATTTGGATTATTGTTTCCTGGCATGAAAAATKATACGAAAAACGAATTGAATAATTGGAGGTGATGTATCAGGAAAATTACTTCGTCTGAAATACGAATTTCCCTAGTACAACTCAGGAACGGTATTTTTCATGAAAAAAACTTTTATCATCAACAATGATAGTTATTGTCATTGCAATTATTTGACTTCAGTTCACAATTCTTGGATAATGTAATTTGGACCTTAGTTTGGGCGTTTTGTATATTCATTTGTTTTTGAAATTAAATTAGTCATTACCGTAAAAATGTTATCATTATAATAAATTACTCAGTCCWAAAGGATTTCACGAAATTATTTCCTTTTTTATCCTTAGATTATTTTATTACATTCAATTTTAAATTTATTCAATTTTACGTAATCGGAATCAAATATTTTCCGACTGATTTTCGATCTAGGAGTCAAAGTTTTGGGTCGAGAAACATTTTTATCGTAAACACAGCTGCGGGGTGYTTAAGCTCTAAACATCGATTTGCGATTTGTATAGTTCTTATAAACAGGTGTGTTGTTGTTAGTGCTCAGTGATTATTTACAAAAAAGAAATTAAAAAGAATATCGCTTTAAAATAACAAAACGTAGAAGCTGAGGCCGAAAGGGTGCACGGGAACGCACCACAAAACATTTACTTCCGGTCTCATCTTCTTTGCTAAGTGTTCATGTAAGTTAAATCTGTCAAAAGCTCGCTTGACATTCTAATGATTCATTCCATTTACACACTTACACGTACAGCTAAGCATGGTTGTAAAGAGTTTCAATATCTGCCCTGCGTTCAAAACAAAACYCTGACAGATCACGTGATCAAGTCCCTCAGAGTCACAGGGTTAAAGATGTGTCAGACCAAATGTTTCTCTGAAGAGTCTGAGGGCGAATGTGTGTCGTACAATTTGGGTCCAGTACACGGTCTCACCAGGATGTGTGAGTTGAGCTCATCGGATCACTGGACACTGCCCAAGTTCTTAATATCAAAGGAAGGCTTTGAGTAYTGTCCAATCAAGGTGAGTTTAGGACCTGCAKTTRGTCGTTAACATACCTATGGAGCCGTTTTGTGTAAATAATGYTTTCTTTTGTTTAGAATCCTTGCTCATCGAGTCCATGTCCACAAGGAAAACTCTGCACCCCAGATTTTGCTTGGGATACCTACAATTGTAAAGGTAAGCTTGCTTCACTGAACTGATCAGTTGGGTTTGCTTAGGATCCACATACATGACTTAGTCTCTCGGTAAGCATGTGAGACAATATTCCATCATCTTTAGCAATGGAACTTTTCCATCAGATCTACTCAGAGATTGACGAAAGCAAACTGAAGTCATGTTGGTGTATGTCGGACTATTTTGTAAACATAAACAATATAAATTGTCTATCATGGGTCTATCATGGCGTATATCTTACTACTTATATCAATACCATGATGTACTTTGCCCAAACAGGCATGACGTCATTTGTCAATTACCGTGATTGCATTACTATTCTACTACAGTGGTTTTCTAATAAGTGATATTATATTCCAGAGGGCTGGTGGGCCAACTGGGGCTCCTGGACAGTTTGCTTTCTACCTAAGACTTGTTTACAAACTCGGAAGCGTAACTGCTCCAACCCACTCACTCAGACGCAGGTTAACGCGGCTAAATGTGAAGGATCTGAACTGGAGACGAGAGACTGCAGATTGCCCGTGTATAACACAACAGGTATTGCCTGCTTTCATATCCGAGCAGGAAACTGGGTACAAGTTTTGAAATTGCACAAATCGGTGTGTGACTTACATTATCTGAAAGAGCAAATCTAAATCAATTAAAAGGCAAAGTTTGGTGGAAATGAGTCAATATTTMAAAAATTATAGCCATTCAAAACCTCTCTTATTCAATATACATTCTTTTGTAAATTAACATTTTTGAACAGCTTCAAGTTCTTAGATAGTCATCTGAACTAAACAAAACTAGGGAATATTATCAATTTAGATGTGCTCTTTAAGATAGTAGTGATAGGCAGCTTGGCGATTTTTGCAATTTTAAAACTCGAACCCAGCCTCCTGCTCGAACATGAAAGCTGGCAATTTAGTGATGATTTTGATTTGTGATCAAAGTGTGACACCATGATTCGACTTTTCGTTGTTCTTGGTGCCACAAAAGTTATTTAGTGCTGGTTGACCGGTCTGATTTTCTATGTTTCGGGTTCCCGTTAAACCTGGCCAGCCCGCTTCATATCTGGTCCGTTGTATCGTCTATTGTTAATGTCTTGCTGTATTGCTGCTGTTCTTGTTGTTGTCCTTTTTTATGCTGACTTTTACAACAATGAACTATATCTCTGTTCTTTCTTAAGGGTGTGAACAACCTTTGGGAATGGAAGACGGGCGAATAAGTGACTCCCAAATAACTGCCTCTTCTTGGCGGGGTAACGACTATCCACCTGAAAAAGGACGATTAAATAATGCTAGTCCAAAGGTGTGGCTCTCCAGGTATGTAAGGAATGGCGAATACATTCAAGTCGATCTACTTAGACCGACATTCGTCACCATGGTAGCAACACAAGGAAGACCAAGAACTATACAATGGATAACGAAGTATAGCTTGTCATACAGCAGTGATAACCACAAATGGAATGAATACGAGGGAGATTGTGCCAAGGTAAGATATATAGTGTGCCCTCTCGAGGTAAGCCTTGGAAATGTACAGCTACAAAAGGATGTTCCCTAAAACGTTGATGTCCTTTTCCAGATTTTTCCTGGAAATAACGATGCCAACACCATTGTGACCAACAAGCTGGAGGTCCCCATCAAGGCGAGGTTCTTGCGACTTGTGATCAAGGAATTCCATATTTATCCCAGTATGAGAATGGAGATTTATGGATGTGAGAAGGAAAACCTACCCATTCAATAGACTGTTTTCACTTTTGTATTCCGGCTTCGCCTGCAGTGCACAAAACGAAATATTTTACAGCACACGGGAGTACTTGCAAGAGGCCACTGACACTGCATTGATCACTGGAAATCATAAGATCTATCTAGAAATAATGCAAAAAAGAGTTGCCGGCCCTTGGAGCATGCTAGAAAAAGACAGTGGGCGACTTTTTGCAAACCGTGAACGTTTGAAGGTCACAAGGAGTCGTGCGGTGTCAAAATGACCTACTTACTACCCTCAGGCTGTTTTTTTACATGAAAAGCTTGCTTTCATACGSTAAACATACTATTATTTTTACTAAAACTGGGCGAAATGGTCGACCCAATTTCCGCGGTTTTACTCATACATTTTTCACATTTGCGTATCAATATGCTATTCCTGCGAGACGTTTATTATTGAAATAGTCATAATAGAATATTTGATTTGCTTAAAAGCTTAAGAGTAGATTCCTCCGCTTGTTATTAAGGCTTAATAATAGTGGTCATTCTCAGGCATTCGTCTTTTTTCCCWATTTACTACCAACTCAATCAGCCATTTTCTAGTACACTTTTTCATACATCACTAGTATTACTGATAGAAAATTTTCAAGGCAAAATATTGAGCTTGAAAAAGCCTTTGTTCGTAAATTGGGTTTTAAAAGGAAATGATAATTTACGCACAAHAACATACCAGCACATATTTAGTAACACGACACTAAAATGCATGACGTTAGTAAGCCTGGGGTCATAGATGGGGTTTCATAGTGAATATAAAGCCAATTGCTGTCTCTCCGAAATGCTATAACTACAGAGTACTATCAAGTCAAGAAATGGAGCGTAATCGTCAAGAACCTCTTTATTGTAGAGACTGTAAAGGGCAGGAAAAGCTTAAAGTACTTAATTGTTCACATGTCTACTGTTGCATTTGTCTGGAACAATTACTAAGTCAAGATTTACTATCGGTTAGTTGTCGGGTATGTCAACGAACGACCGGTGTTACGCTRAAAGGAATAGCTGGACTACCTTGCCAGAAATTCTACAATCAAATCAGAGATATACAGCTATGTGCTGAATGGCTMAACGACAGGTTTAAAGCATTTTATTGGTGACTGGTTTCAGTATCTTTTTATGGACACAAGATGTTCTCTTCAAGCGAAAGGGATTAATTTCAAGCATCTCAACAACCGAATCTAAGAGACAGATCTGTTCAAGAGAACTTGAAGTTGTTCCATACATCAAGGCTGTATTGCAAAGAATAACGAAATTGTATGACTATTTATAACAATGTACATTTATAAAATGATATGTAAACATAGGAACACCTTTTGTAAGATAATACAATGACCGGACATAATTCATGATTATGATCTATATATAGACCACAAATTACCTCATAACAAAGTAATCTCGTCAATTGGCTTAAAATTTTTATGACTTTATTTTAATTGTATTTCATACATTTTTGGAAGTACTTCCTTTTACTCAGCATTTGCATCGATTTATTTCTTGCTTTACTGCTTTACTTTGTTTTACTGCTTTTCGTTTTAATCCTTAAGTTCCTACTTCCGTATTTGTTTCTTATTAAATCCTTCCTTTCTGTGACGTCTTTGTTTTTCTTCGTGTCTCGTTTTCTTTATCCACCACTTTCTAATCTACTCGTACAACAGGAATGATGTCACGCCTTAATATTGTCACGCACGCAGAAGATGTCACAGCAGAGGTAATGTCACATTAAATGCTGTCATGTCACGTCACGCAATACACCTTCAATGATTTTCTGACAATTGAACGAACACACGGCAAATAATATGGGCAGTTTAGTGTTTAYATCAATTTCCGAACTTCTTATRATTTTACACGCTTTCTTGACATCGGTGGTAAAAGCGAATATTCCAACAAAGAAAGGCTGTCTACAATGGTAGCAGTGCCCAGTTGGTGATTTCAGTACTGTAGCTAAGTTGTTAGGTATGACACCATCTCTACATATAACAGAAGGGGAGACTGAAAATAGAAAATAAAAGAGGTTAAAAAAATACCCTTCAGAGTAAGGAATGGTTAAAAATGTTTAGGACATTTTGACACCTGGGCAGAGTTGCTCAAAGCTCACTTGACACTATTCCTGGTTACTCTAGTTAAACATGGATTAATGGTTACACTTGACTTTAACCAACCCAYCTCTGATCATAAATGATCCCAATGTGATCCTTGTTCCAAAATCCCTTGTCACAAATTTTTAATAATATTGGTATAATTTCATTTAAATTATTAGCGGCATTTACACGTTGTGATTATTCCTTTTTACTATAAATATTTTGAGACATGGATGTTGAAAGGGACGCTAGGTGACTATGGCCTTTGAAGTAGCATGCAACAACTGTACTTATTTGACTTTGTCAATATGATGAACTTACAGTGTTTGTATGTTGTTCTTAAGCAAAGCTCGACCAATGGACAGACATTTTTCATCAAGCTTCCAATAAATGCAATATCTTGGAAACATCTTGAGAGGTCTGTAAAACAGGTTATAGCAGGTTTGAAGGCAGATTTAACAGGATTGACTAGAGTATGAATTCAACACATACCTATGGTACTATTGGATGGTTCAGCATTGGATTGATGACCACATCTTTTGAAAGAAAAATTAAGGGAAATTCTAAGATAAATCATACATATACTACCACACCCATATATCAATTCATCAATTCACTATYTAATTTTGTTGGCAAATGTAAAAATCTATAGAAAATTCTAAGATAAATCATATTATATATTTAAAAGAYGTYTTTTGGTTGTATTTGTCATATTTATAAGTAGTTTGGTAAAAAACAGTTTGTTTTCAGTTTGAATGTGTTATTGGTTTTGTAACGTCTTGTGTTCTCTAAAGATGACCGCTTAGGTCGAAAGCTTGGAATAAATTGTTAAAATTATTCATGGTTGATTTACCAAACTACTTGTTAATCATATAATTGGTTTTGTAACGTCTTGTGTTCTCTAAAGATGACCGCTTAGGTCGAAAGCTTGGAATAAATTGTTAAAATTATTCATGGTTGATTTACCAAACTACTTGTTAATCATATACCACCACACCCATATATCAATTAATTATTTAATTTTGTTTGCAAATGCAGAAATCATATTGCACTTATTGAATGCAAGTAAGAAAATGCAAGAATTTCTTACTTGTTGAGCCCAACCATCACTAAATTCTCCAGTCTCAACATAGTGGCTGGAAGAGCACAAAGACTGGTGTTGGAATCCAAGAGAAGGTTTTCTAACAGCACCATGTTGTCAATATCTGGAAACATAAACGAATTCTCAATTTATTTCAAACAAGGTGAGTAAAAACACAAATCTTGGAGTTGGATAGTAAGGTAGGAATTCTAACCGAAACTTCTA